TTTTTTTTTTTTAAAGGGTTTCGCTCTGTCGCCTAGTCTGGAGTGCAGTGGCACAATCTCAGCTCACTGCAGCCTCCGTGTGCTCAGGTGATGCTCCCACCTCAGCCTCCCAAGTAGCTGAGACCACAGGCATGCGCCACCACACCCAGCTAATTTTTGTATTTTTTGTAGAGACAGGGTTTTGCCATGTAGCCCAGGCTGGTCTCGAACTCCTAGGCTCAAGCGATCTGCTCACCTTGGCTTCCCAAAGTACTGGAATCACAAGTGTGAGACACCCCACCGGGCCCCCTTTACATGACTTAAGATCAAAATGAAAACAAAAATTTTCCTTTTTAAAAATCAGAACATTATACATAAGATTATGATCCACCTTGGCTGACTATTCTCCATCCTAGTCCCCTTCCTCTTGCCAGAGGTGATTCTTCCAGACCCTTTAAGGATTTACTTAAATACTTGTACATTTACATGTGTATGTTCATAGAAAATACACAGTATTGTTTGTGTGGGTTTTTTAAAAATAGCAAATGCTGCTATACTGCACGTGACAAAGCGTTGATGTAGAAAAAATGCTCAAATATCATTAAGTCAGAATACAGAGTTTTAATTACAATCTAGTCTCAACTATGTAAAGTTGTCTGTAAATAATGCTGAGAGGAAATGTCCTAGAATGTTAATTGATTATCTAGCTGATGAGATTATGAGTGATTCCCCCCTAAATACTTTTAACTTTTCTATATACACTAGGTAACTTGTAAAATTGGGATGTGTGAGAGAGGGCAACCAAATTTAAAAAAGATAAGAGGAGGCTGAGGGGTGATGGGGGTGTGAAAGCAGAGCTCATTGATGAGTGACTCCAATAAACTGCCTAGTAGGAAGGGTGGGAGCAGAAGATCCCAGGGTAAGATTGGGAAAGTCTTCACCTATTGTCCTGTTCCCACTGCTGGGACCAGGAGGAACAGAGACACATGAAGATTATAGATGAGACCATGGCTCAGCTACAAGACCTGAAGAATCAGCATCTGGCCAAGAAGTCAGAAGTAAATGACAAGAATCATGAGATGGAGGAGATTCGTAAGAAACTTGGGGGCGCCAACAAGTGAGTGGGTTCAGGCCTGGGGTGGGAGGACGTAGATAGAGCTGGCAGCCTGCTAGATATGGGTCTCACCTAGCCCTTGGACCTTTTTTAGGGAAATGACCCACTTACAGAAGGAGGTTACAGCCATTGAGACCAAGCTTGAACAGAAGCGCAGTGACCGTCACAACTTGCTACAGGCCTGTAAGATGCAGGACATTAAGTTGCCACTGTCAAAAGGCACCATGGATGATATTAGTCAGGAAGAGGTGAGTATTGTGGCTGGTGGTGGGAGTGGGCTGTGAACATCATTAACCAGGGATGGGGAGTGAAAGTGACCAGGAAGAGCAGTGAGAGACAGAAGGATGGTGGGCAAATGGTGAAAGGGATGCAGGAGAAATGAGGCAAGATGCAGTGGTGAAGGCAGGTGAGGCAAAAGGTAATAATAGCTTTGGTGTGAAAGAGAAGTTGAATTGGGAGTAGAGCTGCAAGCCAGTGAGTGGGTGGTGAGAGAGTTGAGCCAGGAAAGAATGAAGTAATTCATTAACCTTAGGGACCTGAGCTATATTAGCTCTAGCAGGTGATGGAAATTGGTAGGACTGGGAATTGAGTGACATTAGCCAAGAGCAAAGGAAGACAGGAAGCTGGGGGCCCTGAGGATGATAGCTGCAGTGAGGGAGGTTGGCCAGGAGAGGGTTGGGTGAGGGACATTAGCAATGGAGAGGTGAGGAAGTTTAATTATAGGAAAGACAGATACTAGCCAAATAGGAGTAGTGGAAGTAAAGATGGGTAGCAAGGGGGAGGGAAATGTTAACTGAGAAGAGGTTTGCCTATATTGATATCTCATCTTAGACCTGGTCATATATCTCAGTCCCATGTGTCTTTCTCCTCACTTTCCAAATGGCATTTTGGTTTAATTCAGTAAAGTATTTTGAATACCAGAAATGTTCTGGGCATCATGGTAACATGTGACATAATTACCCCTAATCCTAACCATAGACCTGCCAGACAGGCATTATCCCCATGTTACAGGTGAAGAAACTCAGGATTTGAGAATGTGATTTGCCCAGGACCACAATGTTAGTAAGCGGTAGACTTCAATTTTTTTCTTTTCTTTTTTTTTTTTGATGCAGAGTCTCACTTTGTCGCCCAGGCTAGAGTGTAGTGGCGTGATCTTGGCTCACTGCAGCCTCCAGCTCCCAGGTTCAAGTGATTCTCATGCCTCAGTCTCCCAAGTAGCTGGGATTACAGGCATACACCACCACACCTGGCTAATTTTTGTATTTTTAGTAGGGACAGGGTTTCACCACATTGGCCAGGCTGGTCTCAAACTCCTGACCTCAAGTGATTCACTTGCCTTGGCCTCCCAAAGTTGGGATTATAGGCATGAGCCACTGTGCTTGGCCATAGAGCTCAATTTTGAACTTGAGTCATTCTGCCTGCAAAGCCTCTGTTCCTTCTGCCATAGTGCTTTCTAGCAAAGTGCTTTCTCAAAGATCGAAGGCTGCAAAGGAGCTCTCCATAGAGGGGCACTCTGATGGCCAGTCTGCTCCACTTGACTCTCCCTTGCCATTACAGGGTAGCTCTCAGGGGGAGGACTCAGTGAGTGGTTCCCAGAGAATTTCCAGTATCTATGCACGAGAGGCCCTCATTGAGATTGACTACGGTGATCTGTGTGAGGATCTGAAGGTGAGGATCAACCACAGGGGTGGGCTGGGGATTGGGGTGGGAGTGGGACCATCTTCCTAGCTGTCCAGAGAGGGGGCCAGCACATCTGGGGGCTCTGTGGAGACCATGGCTAGAAAGGGGAAAGCTGGCAAGGAAGGGGGGATTGGGTTGTGAAGCAGGGTCTCCCCTTCATATATATACACAGGCATACGCACATTTCCCACCCGACACCCCAAGTTGCCCCTGCCCTTGCCTGCTATGTCTTCCCCTTCTAGGTGTGTATATGACTAAGTTAAGCCTAGATGCACACAGAGAAGAGACTTCTCTACAGTGAACAGATTGGCCTCAGGTGTTCCTCAGGGCTCTTTCCTTCTCTCTTGGCATTCTCTCATCCTGGGTATCGCTTCACTTCCATGGCTTCCACTGCCATCTCTGTGCTAGGTCCCACAGGTACCTCAAACCCTAGCCTTCCCAAATTTACCTATCTCCTCAGTGCCACTCACATGCTCAGCCAGAAATCTGAGCCTCATCCTTGACTTCTCCCTCTTTCGCTTTACATAGTCAATTAATTACCAAGCCCTATGGATTCTACCTCCTAAATATATATATATATTTTTGAGATGGAGTTTTACTCTTGTTGCCTGGGCTGGAGTGCAATGGCGTGATCTCGGCTCACTGCTGCAGCCTCTGCCTCCCGGGTTCAGGTGATTCTCCTGCCTCAGCCTCCCAAGTAGCTGAGATTACAGGCGCCTGCCACCACACCCAGCTAATTTTTAGTAGAGACAGGGTTTTGGGCTTTTTTTTTTTTTTTTTTTTTTTTTTTTTTCTTTTTGAGACTGAGTTTCACTCTTGTTGCCCAGGCTGGAGTGCAGTTGCACGACCTCAGCTCACTGCAACCTCCGCCTCCCGGGTTAAAGCAATTCTCCTGCCTCAGCCTCCAGAGTAGCTGGGATTACAGGGATGTGCCACCACACCTGGCCGGGGTTCTGTATTTTTAGTAGAGATGGGGTTTCACCATGTTGGTCAGACTGGTCTTGAACTGCTGACCTCAGGTGATCCGCCCACCTCTGCTCCTCAAAGTGCCGGGATTACAGGTGGGAACCACTGTGCCCGGCGCTAAATATCTATTGAATTGTTTTTTGTTTTCACTGTCTCTAGTGCAGGCCACTTTCATCTCACATAGCCAACTGCAGGAGCCTCCTAAATAGTTAATGATGCATTTCAATCATTATATTCAGGAGGATTTGATTTTTTGAACTTATGGAAAATTTGAAGCATATGGAAGTAAAAAGAATGATAATGAACCCCAGGCACACAGCTTCGGCAGTTAAACAGTCTTGTTTTTTATACCCACCCATTGGACTATTTTAAAGAAAACTCTAGACATTACTCCGTCCATAATTACCTCAGCATGAATCTCTAGAATATGAGAACTCTTAAGAAAAACATAACCACAATACTATGCCTGAAAATATTTAACAGTAATTCCACAATATTATCTAATCAGTAAATGTTTAGATTTCCATGAAAGTCCCATAACATTTTTTTTATATTTTTTGCAGTTTCTGTGTCTAGATCAATACTTCAGTAAGGTCCATGTGTTAAATTGGTCTCTGCTAGTCTATAACATTTTGCTCTTCATTTTTTTTTTCTTATTATTTATGGAAGAAATTGGGTCATTGGTACATAGAATTGTCTGCATTCTGGATTTGGCTCATTATGTCTCCATAATGTTGCTGAATATGTTTTTCAATTCCTTGCATTTCCTATAAATGAGTAAGCAAATCTAGGGTTTGATTGGATTCAAGTTCTTTTTTGGGGCAAGAGTATATCATAGGTGGTGTTGTGTACTTGTGAACTTCCTTCTGCATCACATCAGTAGACACCAGATGTCAGTCCTCTCTTTGTAATATTAAAATTGACCAGTGTTCAACATTACCTGTGAAGTATTCTTGCCAAAAAACAAATTTGGATCTGATCAAGCTTCCATATTCATCAACTGTCAGAAACACTGGTGCCAAAGGAACGTTAAAAAATCACAGGAGGGCCAGTCATGGTGGCTCACGCCTGTAAACCCAGCTACTCAGAAGTCTGAGGCAAGAGAATTGCTTGAACCTAGGAAGTGGAGGTTGCAGTGAGCTGAGATCATGCCGTTGCACTCTATCCTTGGTGATGAATGAAACTCTGTCTGAAAAAAAAAAAGCACAGGGATGCAGTTACCAAATCCAGACTGGGAAATTCTAAGGAACAGAAGATCTGATGTCTTTTATAAATAAATGGGGAGAAAAAAATGGAGAGGGGGAACTGTGGCAGACTAAAGGAGACAGATCAACCAAATGAAATGTGTGGACCTCACTTGAATACATTGCGTAGAAAAGAAAGGGAGGGGGACCTTATAGAGTAAATGAGACTTAAGAGACATATCAGCTCACTGCAATGTGTGCACCTTATTTAGAACCTACTTTGAAAAACCTGTAAAAAAAAAAATGTGTAAAACAGAGGAATTTGAACACCAACCAGGTAGTTTATGATGTCAGGGAATTGTTAATATTTTTAAGTGTAATAGTGGCATTACTATTTTCCTTAAGTCTTTATCTTTTATAGGAGTAGTTCTCATTGAGAGGGTAGATACTTTGTTCCCCAGGAGACATACGACGATGTCTGGAGATACTCTTGTCACGCCTACTTGTCATAACTGGGGTAGGGGGGTTTCTACTAGCATCTAGTGGGTACACACCAGAAATGCTGCTAAACTTCTTATAGTTCGCGGAACAACCCCTACAGTAATGGATTACCTGACCCAAAATGTCAATAGTTCTGAGGTTTGGAAACCCTGTTTGAGAGATATACACTGAAGTATTTATGGATGAAATGATGTGTTTAGGGTTTGCTTTAAAATAAGTGATCATGCCTGTAATCCTAGCACTTTGGGAGGCTGAGGCAGAAGGATTGTTTGAGCCCAGGAGTTCAAGACCAGCCTGGACAACATAACGAGACCCTGTCTTTATCCCTTTTTTTTTTTTTTTTTTTGAGATGGAGTCTCACTCTGTCATCTGACTGGAGTGCAGTGGTGTGATCTTGACTCACTGCAACTTCCATCTCCCGGGTTCAAGTGATTCTCCTGCCTTAGTATCCTGAGTAGTTGTGTGCGTCACCACGCCCAGCTAAGTTCTGCATTTTTAGTGGAGACAGGGTTTCACCAAGTTGGCCAGGATGGTCTCTATCTCCTGACCTTGTGATCTGCCTGCCTCAGCCTCCCAAAGTGCTGGGATTACAGGTGTGAGCCACCACGCCTGCCCCCCCCCGTCTCTATCTTTAAGAAAAATAAAATAATCGAGTATAGAAAGGAGTTGGGGGATATCATTGGCAGAGTATTGAGCATGAGTTGATAATTATTGAAGTTGAATAATAGGTACGTGGAGTTTCATTATGTTTTTCCCTTGAGTTTTTGTGTATGTTTAATAATTTACATAACATACAGTTAAAAACAACCATGATCACTAAGTTCAGCTAGTATTAGCTCCAGCCATTTTTATAAAGTTCCCTGTTAGCCTTTCACAAATTGGTTTTAGCAACTGTTGATGATCATTGCCTACATTAGTTAAGGGTTGCAAAATGGTAATTTTCTAATTCTTTCATTCCTCTTCCATTTATTAGTTGGAATTCTAAAGAGTACTTTTCTACATCAACTGTTTAGTTCCCTTAAAATAGTACAGGAAAGGTGGGATAAATAGTCCTTTTCCTTTGTTTACCAGCTTTCAGAATTATGACTTGGTTGCCCTTGTAACCTTCAAAGGCAACCAGTGAGACTTTAAATTTGTTTTTTTTGTTTGTTTTGTTTTCTTTTTTTAATTTGTTTTTATTTAAATGTTGGCTGGGGACAGGTGCGGTGGCTCACACCTATGATGCCAGCACTTTGGTAGACCGAGGCGAGTGGACTACTTGAGGCCAGGAGTTCGAGACCAGCCTGGCCAACATTGTGAAATCCCATCTCTACTAAAAACACAAAAATTAGCCACCAATCCCAGCCTCTTGGGAAACTGAGGCATGAAAATTGTTTGAATCCAGGAGGCCAAGGTTGCAGTGAGCCAAGATCATACCACTGCACTCCAGCCTGGGTGACAGAGCAAGACTCCATCTCAATAAATAAAATGAATGAATGAATGAATGTTGGTCGGGTATGGGGACTCATGCCTGTAATCCCAGCACTTTGGGAGCCTGAGGCAGGAGGATTGCTTGAGCCTAAGAGCTAATTTTTAAAAATTAGCCAGGTGTGATGGCATATATCTGTAGTCCCAGCTACTCAGGAAGCTAAGGCAAGAAGATCTCTTGATCCTGGGAGGTTGAGGCTGCAGTGAACCTACATCACACCACTGTGCTGTAGCCTGGGTGATAGGGAGATCCTGTCTCAAAAAAGAAACTTAAATGTTTAGATGTCTTTTATGTTTCAATCTGTTAGAGTCATTTTTCTTCCGCTCTTTTTGCCCAGGCTGGAGTGCAGTGACGCGATCTTGGCTCACCAAAGCCTCTGTCTCCTGGGTTCAAGTGATTCTCCCGTCTCAGCCTCCTGAGTAGCTGGGATTACAGGCATGTGCCACCATGCCCGGCTAATTTTGTTTTTTTTAGCAGAGATGGGGTTTCTCCATGTTGGTCAGGCTGGTTTCAAACTCCCAACCTCAGGCGGTCCACCTGCCTCGGCCTCCCAAAGTGCTGAGATTACAGGCTTCAGCCACTGCGCCCAACCTTTTTTTTGTTTTTAATTTAGAGATAGGGTCTCACTATGTTGCCTAGGCTGGTCTTGAACTTCTGGCCTCAAGTGATCCTCCTGTTTCAGCCTCCTGAAGTGTTGGGATTACAGGCATTAGCCTCTGTTCCTGGCCCATTTTTCTTTTGTTTGAGATGGAGTCTCACTCTGTCACCCAGGCTGGAGTGCAGTGGCATGATCTCGGCTGACTGCAACCTCCGCCTCCTGGGTTCAAGTGATTCTCCTATCTTAGCCTCCTGGGATTACAGACATGCTG